CCAGCTTAAAATATTAAAACAAAATTGTGCCATCAGATTCGGCAGTCTCAGAATCTAGTGTTGGCTTTTACCAGAAGCTTGTTTTTCATCATTCCTGGGAAAATGGGAAGCCTGGAATTAATCAGAACTGATTTTTAAAGCTTTGTTTGGATTGATTTTTCAACTTGGAGAAACGCCAGAGCGTTTTCTTTTTGAATGAAGAAAGCACCAGTCGCTGCATTTATTTGACTGCTGCAAACCTGGCTGGGAGAAAAGAGGCTTTTAAATCTGACTTTCATGTATTTGAAAAGAATCTGAAATCCAAATGTCTTAGTTTTAATCTCGGAAACTCAAGCGCTGTGCTTTTAACTCGGGGCTTAAAAACTGAGGTGATCTGCACGATGAGCTGGCAGGAATAAAGTTTGGAGCCTCGGTAGCCTATCGCCTCTCACACTTCTAAAAAAGTTGGCACAGAATAGGGGGCTGGATTAAATAAACTTCAAGCTCCCGTCCCGCTTAGCGATTCTAAGTAATTGTTTCTTCCCATCCTGGGAACTTCCCCCTCTTTCCCCTTTGTTCTCACCTTTCTCTTTCACTGTCGATCCTTTTGTTGCGTGTGTGTCAGCCGTGTTGCATGGGGTTGCCTGTCACTGGCATGTTCCACGCCCTGCCTGCTGCCATGCATTTTCCGCATCCCATTTTTATCCCCCTTCGAAGTCCCTGTTTCCAGGGGTGTCTGTAAAATCCCAACTCTTGGTCAAAGCGAGAGAACAAGACTTGCAATGTTGTGATGCTGTCTCTGCCTTTTCCCTGTGTGTGTGGCGTCCTGGTGCATGTTCAGAAGGGGTGAAGCTTGTGTCGTGACGCCTGTTCCATCTTTCTGGGCCTCCCCTTGCCTCCTGCTGCGGACACCAAGGCCTACTTTGAATAATGCAGCCTTAATTAATGAAGGTGAAGTCGGGTCTGTGCTATTTTCCTGGCAAGAATATGGAAGAGATTTGCAAACTTTCTTCCAAGATGTCCCAGTCTAGCCTGCAGCACAGAAATCTCCTGGTGGTCACCCATCCAAGGACTAATCCAGTCCAAGTCTGTTTAGCTTCTGAACCAAGAGAAGATCATTCAGATGTTACCACATGCTAACATTCTGATCACACACACAGAACCCCAAACCTCTAATGTGTGTGTCTTGGCAGTCTAAAGTTGTTTATGTAGAGCTTGAAAAGGAAAACTTACAGAAGTTACAAAACATTGACTCCTAATGGCATTTGCTTCAGGGAAAGTGCACGTCCTGCCTTTCTGAACTGAACGCAGAAGAGCTGGGCTTTTGACAGAAAAGAAAAGAAATTAAGCGACTGCCAGGAATGTCCACAGAGGGGAGGTCAAAAAAGTCAAGATGGCAGACACAGCCACAATGATGGAAGCCCCGCCCTGTTTTACCTGCACATGTTTAAAAACGGTGGGGCTTTGATTGCGGCTGGGGCCACCATCTTGACTTTTTTGACCCCCTTCCTGCAGATCCCCGGATGGACGCCTAGTTTTCTGCTCCACTGCAGTTTCCAAATTCTTATGAAGCCATTTGGGGGTTCTCTTTTCAGAGAAGACTCGGGGTAACCCCAGGCTGCATTTTGGGAAGCTTTTTTTAATTTCTTGGAGGGTTGGGGGCTTTTCAAGGGGTGCAAGAGGCATCTTAAACGCCGCATAGATTTCAGGCATCGAAAGCATCCCTCAAAACCTCGCACCATGTGCCACGGCGAGACACAGAGCACCGTTTCACCTAAAACCCAGAGAAGCGTCAAAAAATAGGGTGCCAAAATTCCAACCCCCCGACCCATTGCAGGGTGTTGGCGGGGGGGGGGTCCAAAAGGTCAAGAGGGCAGCTGAGGGCAAAAGGAGAGATGGCGTGTAAAAAGGAGGCGGGGCTTGCCTTGCACGGCCACCATCTTGACTTTTTTGACCCCTCTCCCCACGGAACCCAGGTCGCAAAGCCACACAAGCCCGAAAACCCGGTCCGGGGTGGACCGCGCCTCTCCAACCGTCTCAGGGTCTGTCCTGCTCCTCCCACAGCGCAGTTCGAAACCCCCGAGTGGGACCGGACCTCCTCCTCCTCCTCCTCCTCGTCCTCGGCCCACAAAGAGCACCGGCCGCGTCCGCCGAAGCCCCCGACGGGGTCCGCCAAGTTTGGCCGGTCGCAGAGCCCCGAGTCCGGCGTCCCCCTGGCCGAGCGCGTCGATCCGTCGCTGCCCCTGGAGAGCCAGGCGTAAGTGGCACCGGTGGGAATCCGGGTTCGTAGGGGCAGCGGGCGAGGGCCGGGGGGAAGCGGCCCGCACGGCAGGCAGGCGGCCTTCCTTGTGATGCTTTATTGGCCTCAAAGGCCCGTCTGCGTTGAGGGTTCCTCCATCTTCAGCGTCTTCTATTGTTCTAGGACGGTGTTCCTCAACCTTGGCAACTGTAAGATGGGTGGACTTCGTCTCCCAGAATCCCCCAGCCAGCCATGGCTGGCTG